TGTATGATCTTTGGTCAACACTGTGTAATGAGATGTTGAAGTCTTAAATACATTTTAAATCCTTATTTGCTGCACTATATATATTCAAACATGGAAGGTGAAAAGGAGCCACTTTGTAATGGGAGGAAGGACCCCCTTGCACAGAAATTTTGTTGGTCTATAGCTTTTAGCTTGTGCTAATTGGGTTTTTCACTGGTGGTGTGGCATGGCCGAATCCAATCTATGCTTTTCTATAACTGTTTGGAAATTTATGGGGTCGCCCCCTCGCTCGTCTCTATCAATAACAACCGTCCAATAAATTTGAAAAAAATACTTTAATCCCTTTGTTTCATCTATTTGTAAACAGACGTGCAAAAAATGCTTTGGTATGTGAAAAATACTTATCTAGAACTGAGTTTCGTAGATCAATCTCCAATACAACCAAACTAATAACAATTTGAATTTTTTTTCCTCATGTAGTCAAAGATACCTTTATTTTAATAAAATTTTCTATTTTCATTGGTTTTCGATCACCCGAAATTTTCGCATTAAAGTCTATAACTAAACTTTCACTACTATGGCATACATTTTTATTTTGTCAATACCTAAGTTACAGATGTAGGGTTAATTCTTGGTGAAGTTAGGTTAGGTTGATACAGTTCGTAATTATTCTTAAACATGTTTTTATTAAATGAATGATGGAGTTAATGGATGGAGGCCTAGTAGTGGGCCAATTTTTGGCCTTTGGAGAATGTTGATGTATGTTATAGAAGTGTTTATTGAGTGTCTTTGTATTTTGAGATTTTATTGTGTTGTGCCGAAATGCTGCTTTAATTTTTTTTCAAATAAAATTCATATGTAGAATAGTACACTTAACCTTTAATTATAGTAGGGATATAACCTTTGTATTGAATAAATGAACTTATTTTTTTAATTTATATATAGTTCCCCTTATTAAGAATAACCTTAAGTTAGTTTTTTTTTTTTTTTTTTTTTTTTTTTGGGAAAACTTATTTATATCTTATATATGGAGAATCCAAAAATGGTCAGAAATTAACAATGCCTTTTAAGTAATTGAGGCAAAGAAGCAAAATGTAGTAAAAACTACAATTAATTGAGTACAATCCTGCTGAAACGAGCCAAGAAATAGCTGGCTTGTATTCCCCTCACGATAGATGTGGCAAGAAAGGAGAACATGAACTCCCGAGACTAAAAATTCTAGGGTGAATCTGAATGACCAAAACCGAGGCGTTCTACTGACTTGAAGGAAGTGGATGAATCGATGGTAGTTTTTTGAGGTCACTCTCTATAATAAAGGGGAAAGGGTGTTTAAGCTTTGACAACCATTTGAGGACTGAAAAATAAGGAATTTAAGTTCAGCGTCTTGTAGAGTCCTGGCATGATTGGGAAGCAGTATGCGGCAATGAGGCTAGCCTAAATGATCTCCGATTATGGTCCTCCTGGCGGAAGAAGAAGAAGAGTAATGCAGCATCCACGTGAGCCTTGTAAAATCCAGCTGTTGGTTTTAACCCAAGATACTCAGCTTAATTTTCAATTTATTCCGAAGAATCAGGAAGGTAATCTTGAAATAAGAAATGGTTTGGGGCACCAATTTGGAATTCAGAGTGAGGTTACTCCCATTTAATAGAATGCGTGGTACGAATCTGTTCCAGCATGGGGAATATAAAACCACCTCCTTCGCCCATTGAGACAGCAGTATCGTATGCTGACCAAATTGAGTAGAGAATAATTTGGGAGATAAATCTCATTATTATACCTGGTGATGATTTAGGAGCATAAAGAATCCACCATGAGATTAGTTCCTGCCGAAGGGAATTTGCTGCTAACGGTTTAGTGCAGATTGAATCACGAAAGAATTTCCAAATCAGGGTGAATTGGGTTTTCAAAAAATAATTTTAGATTTTTAAAAACAAAATCTAGAATTCTAAATACAGCGGAAAAGTAAAGAACTTGTGAGAATAAGTTATCGAGATGGAAGAGGTATAGCCCTTTGCAAGACTTTCCATGTGAAGATTGAGATTTTAGTAGGAATATTTGGATCCCAGATCGAACGGTAAGAGAGAGTGGCTGATTTCTTTAGTCTCACAAAATCATATGCTAATTTTAGACTGAAGTTCTCCCTGTCGTTTGCAATCCAACTGGGGCCATCCAACGGGGGCCATCATCCTCAATAGAAATTAAGGTATTAGCTGTTGTTTGAATTCGACAAATTCTTTTCCAGGTACAAGAATCAGTAGTTTTAAAATTCATTTGATCTCTTCTATAATATTTCTTCCGTAGCAGCATTGCCCATAACGATTTGAAATTTTAATTAGTATAAAACTCCTCAATTAAGTATTATATATTAAATTTCTCACTTTATTAAATTTATTATTATTTTGTAAATTATTAAAGCTTTTTTATTCTCTTTGTCATATTTTAGCCAATGATGTCTGAGAGTTGTAGAGTCCGGAGACCAGAAGAAATCTGCAAATTTTTTTTCTAGGATAGCAATAATACTCTTCGGTAGAGACATAGCTCCCAGCGTATGTATCGGAATTGAATTCAGTACATGTTTAATAAGTAGCAGTCTGCCCCTAGTGGAAAGAAATTTTTTTGTCCATCCTTGCAGTTTAGCATCAATTTTTTGAAGAAGATAAGAACAATATTGAGCTCTATTAATTCCTTTATATATGGGAGCTCCCAAGTATATGAATGGAAGAGCTTTAGCAGTGATGGAAAGAATGGACTGAATTTTATCCTTGTGCAAAATCTCATTTGGATGCCACAACTCCTTTCTTCCACTTCCCTCTCCCTCTTTATCTTCTTCCCGACTATTCTTACTCTTTCTCTATTCTCTCTCTTCGAATTTCGTTATTCTCATCCCTCTTTCCTTCTCTTTATATATATCTTTCAAATTTTTACATTTGTGTTTAGAGCATAAATTTTGGGTGAGGCAATTTGTTGTATAACTAGGATTTTCTCTCAAATTACAATAAATAAGAAATCTAGAATTAAAGTGAGCAAGGGGTCTATTAACTCAACCAATAGCGATAGTGTGAGATGTAGCCACAACCTATATGTCCATATCTTGACATCTTGGAAAAATCTAGGAAGACGTTTTTATTGATCCTCATATTAGAGTATAAAAGTGAAATTATCCTCAAAACTCATTTTATTCATACTTGTTTTAATGATTAAAAGAAATATGAGGTTTGGATTGGG